AGATCGCGCCATTGCACTCCAGCCTGCGTAACATGAGTGAAACTCTGTCTCAAAAAAAAAAAGAAAAATAATCTTATCTTTAAAAGTAAAAATTCCATAGTTTGTACTTATTGACATTCTGAATAAGAAATTGGCCACAATGTAATAAAAATGCAAGGGACAGCTATCTTAAGGGATATAACTTATTCAGTTCTTTTTTTTCCTTTGGAGATGGAGTCTTGCTCTGTTGCCCAGGCTGGAGTGCAGTGGCATGATCCGGCTCACTGCAACCTCCACCTCCCGGGTTCAAGCAATTCTCCTGTCTCAGCCTCCCAAGTGGCTGGGACTACAGGCATATGCCACCATGCGCAGATAATTTTTTTGTGTTTTTAGTAGATACGGGCTTTCACCATGTTGCCCAGGCTGGTTTCGAACTCCTAAGCTCAGGCAGTTCACCAGCCTCGGCCTTCTCAAGTGTTAGGATTACAGGCATGAGCCACCGCACCCGGCCATAACTTCAATTCTTTAGAATTATAGAGAAATTATGAAGAAAGGATAGAATTATTTTTAGAAGGTATATTAGAAACACTAAACAAATATTGCCTCCCTATTTCCTCTAGGAAATCCAACAAAGGTGTATGAAGTGGTCTACCAAATTGGAACTGAGACTCGTTCAGACTTCTATGACATCGTCTTGGTAGCCACTCCATTGAATCGAAAAATGTCCGGTATTACTTTTCTCAACTTTCATCCTCCAATTGAGGAATTCCATCAATACTACCAGAATATAGTGACAACTTTAGTTAAGGGGGAATTGAATACATCTATCTTTAGCTCTAGACCCATAGATAAATTTGGCCTTAGTACAGTGTTAACCACTGATAATTCAGATTTGTTCATTAACAGTATTGGGATTGTGTCCTCTGTGAGAGAAAAGGAAAATCCTGAGCCGTCAACAGATGGAACATACGTTTGGAAGATGTTTTCTCAAGAAACTCTTACTAAAGCGCAAATTGTAAAGCTCTTTCTGTCCTATGATTATGCTGTGAAGAAGCCATGGCTTGCCTATCCTCGCTATAAGCCCCCAGAGAAATGCCCTTCTATCATTCTGCATGATCGACTTTATTACCTCAATGGCATAGAGTGTGCAGCAAGTGCCATGGAAATGAGTGCCATTGCAGCCCACAACGCTGCACTCCTTGCCTATCACCGCTGGAACGGGCACACAGACATGATTGACCAGGATGGCTTATATGAGAAACTTAAAACTGAGCTATGAAATGACACATTCTTTTTTTCCCCTCCTAGTTCCAAATGACTGTCGGTGGCAAAAAAGAACAAAATCTGAGCAGAGATGATTTTGAACCAGATATTTTGCCATTATCATTGTTTAACAGAAGTAATCCCTGCTGGTCATAAGAAAACACAAGGTTCTAATTAAGTGTGAAAGTATAACTATTGCACTTATTCCATTTCCAAAGTTTCTTAATTATTCTTTCACTATCCATTGGGAGTGTTTCTTTTTTTTTGAGACAGAGTCTCACTCTGTCACCCAGGCTGTAGTGCAGTGGTGCGATCTCGGCTCACTGCAACCTCCGCCTCCCAGGTTCAAGCAATTCTCTTGCCTCAGCCTCCTGAGTAGCTGGGATTACAGGCACGTGCCACCGCGCCCAGCTAATTTTTGTATTTTTAGTAGAGACGGGGTTTCAACATCTAGGCCAGGCAGGTCTTGAACTCCTGACCTCGTGATCCACCCGCCTCCGCCTCCCAAAGTGTTGGGATTTACAGGTGTGAGCCTCCGTGCCTGGCCGGGAGTGTTTCTTAAACTTGTCTGATAAGAATCACCTGGAGTTAGGAGGTGGCGGTTGCAGTGAGCCAAGATCGGGCCATTGCACTGCAGTCTGGGCAACAAGAGCAAAACTCTATCTATCTCAAAAAGTAAAAATAGGCCGGGCGCGGTGGCTCAAGCCTGTAATCCCAGCACTTTGGGAGGCCGAGGCGGGTGGATCACGAGGTCAAGAGCTCGAGACCATCCTGGTCAAAATGGTGAAACCCTGTCTCTACTAAAAATACAAAAAAAACATTAGCTGGGCATGGTGGCGCGTGCCTGTAATCCCAGCTACTGAGGAGGTTGAGGCAGGAGAATTGCCTGAACCCAGGAGGCGGAGGTTGAGGTGAGCCGAGATCGCGCCATTGCACTCCAGCCTGGGTAACAAGAGTGAAACTCCGTCTCAAAAAAAAAAAAAAAAAGTAAAAATAAAAATAATCACCTGGAGTTTGTTAAACCATATGGATTCTCAGGCGCCTCTCTTGGAGATTCTGATTTAGTAGGTCTGGGGGTGGGGCCCTGGATTTTCATCAAAATTGTAGAGCATTTTAAGGTGAGTACCTGAGGGAGAACTTAAAGACATCTTATTTGGGGAGTAGTCCTTTTGAACTGTACAGCCAGATGTATTCTTCAGTCAAATAAAATTTATGGGAGCCGGTGTCTTATGCCTGACTCTTGGTAATTTCATACCTAAGAGTCTGAAAGTGCATGTGCCCATGCCTAAAGCCTTGACTTTAAGAATGTTGTCTTTTGATTCTCCTATCTTGATTTAATTAGGGGTGAAATTTGGAAGTCTTAGTAGTGTAACTTTAAGATGTTAAACAAAAATCTCAAAATGAAAAGCAAATATGGGCTACTGAATTGTGAAACTGGCATTCTATTATTAAATCCTTACTTCAGGAGCTTTAAAAAATACTGAAAGACCCCCATAACCAGAGATATAGATTAAAAGATTGAGGATAGGACCTTAGCACTGTAGCTTTTTAAAGTTTCTAATGTGCACCCAGGGTTGAGAATCACTAATGTGGGGGGTGAAAGCGCCTACAAAGGGGTTTTAGTGCCTTAGAAGTCATAAGAAACCCAATCTGTATCAAAGCAGATCCATTTTGTAAGGAATGATTTCTCTCAATAAGAACTTTAGAAGTAATTGTGACAGTAAGAAGCAAGGACAGTCTAACAGCAGAGGCAACTTAAATAACTCCAGAGCAGTTGGCACTAGAACAGAATACTTGGAATGACACCAAGCTTAACCAAGTCCAGCATATGTCCAGAGTGTTAAGTGTTTCAGTTACTGTAGCATTCTAGGTGAGAAATTGGTTGCTGAAATCTTAAGACAGTGGCTCTCAATCTTGGCTGCACATTGGATTCACCTGTAGGGTTTTAAAGCATCCCAAATGGTAACTAACATGCAGCCAAACTTGAGAACTAGTTCTGCATCTGCTGTACAAAGATCTGATTGACTGGTCAGATACTGGTAGAACAGAACAAGTAAAAGATTAAGAATTTGAAACCAATTTAACATGTATTGTTATCGAAACATAAATAAATAAAAAGGCCTGGACCAGCCTGGGCAACATGGTGAAACACCATCTCTACAAAAAATTTTTAAAAAGTTAGCCAGGCATGGTAATGCATGCCTGTAGTCCCAACTGCTCAGAAGACTGAGGTGGGAGGATCACTTGAGCCTTGGAGGTCAAGGCTGCAGTGAGTCATGATCATGCCACTACTCCAGCCTGGGCAACAGTGAGACCATCTAAAAAAAAAAGAAATCCTTCCATCGAATGGAAACTTAAAAAAGTCCTTCATAAGATCATGGCATTAGCTACTTTAGCAAAATAGTGTAAGAACATTGGTTCTGAGTAAAAGTGACTTCTATACCAGTTGTGAATGTTATTATGCTGATAAAACTGCCAAGATATATTTGATAGGCAGGGATTAAACTCATGGTTTGTCAATGGTGTTTTTTTCCTAGTTTTATTCTTAACAGATGTTAAGAGGTATTCATATTTGTTTCCTTTTGTGGTTTTAATGAAGACAATTTGTAAAGAATGTAATACTGTTATGTGTATGTTAAATCTTGGTAAATACTAATTAGTTTCTTCATTTGTAGACTTGTTTTGCAATGACATATATTTTTACTTATAAGAATACCAGTTTAGGTGAGGTGTGGTGGTTTACGCCTGTAATCCCAGCACTTTGGGAGGCCAAGGTGGGTGGATCAAGAGGTCAGGAGATAAGACCATCCCTGCCACCATGGTGAAACCCCACCTCTACTAAAAATAGGCTGAGGCAGGAGAATTGCTTGAACCGGGAGGTGGAGGTTGCAGTGAGCTAAGATTGCACCACCGTGGCACCAGCCTGGTGACAGGGCAACTCTGCCTTAAAAAAACAAACACAAAAACCCAGCAATTTAGGCTGGGTGCGGTGGCTCACACCTGTAATCCCAGCACTTTGGGAGGCTGAGGTGGGTGGATCTCTTGAGGTAAGGAGTTTGAGACCAGCCTGGCCAGCATGGTGAAACCACTTTACTAAAAATTCAAAAAATTGCCAGGCATGCTAGTGGGTGCCTGTAATCCCAGCTACTGGAGAGGCTGAGACTTGATAATTAAACTTGGGAGATAGAGGTTGCAGTGAGTAGAGATTGCACCACTGCACTCCAGCCTGGGCAACAGAGTGATACTGTGTCTCAAAAAAAAAAAAAAAAACCAATTAAAAATGTTGCTGGTATTATATCCAACCTACTTTGGATAAATTTTCCAGTAGGGCATCTGAAATTACTTTGGCAAAACCAAAACAGGTTATCAGTATACCAAGGATATTAAGTAGTTTTAATGCAATTATAGTATTACTTTTTTACTGGGAGAAAAATACTAGCAGAGCCTGCTACTCCAGGCACATTAGGTAGTTTTATGGAACTATAGTGTTAAAGAAGAGTTTTATTGGAAGAAAAAAAAAGCTCTGCCAGGCGCGGTGGCTCAAGCCTGTAATCCCAGCACTTTGGGAGGCCAAGGCGGGTGGATCACGAGGTCAAGAGATCGAGACCATCCTGGTCAACACGGTGAAACCCCGTCTCTACT